TTGTCATCCATTCATCCACCAGGCACCAGGGTAGCTTCCACCTTTGGACTGTCGTGAATAATGTTGCTGTGCATATGGATACAGATATCTCTTTGAGACCCTGCTTTCTATTTTGGGTACATACCAGGAAGGGAATTACTGGATTATATGGTGATTTTATGTTTAACTTTTTGAGAAATCTCCATACTGTTTCCCATAGCAGCAACACCATTTCCCATGCCCACCAGCAGCATAGTTTTACCAAAACTTTCTTTCTTTCTTTCTTTCTTTATTTATTTTTATAGAGAGGAAAGGAGGGGGACAAACATTACTGTGTGGTTGCCTCTCACATGCCCCCTGCTGAGCACCTGGCCAACAACCCAGGCGTGTGTCCTGACTGGGAATCAAACCTACAACCCTTTGGTTCGCAAGCCAACACTCAAGCCACTGAGCCACACCAGCCAGGGCCAAAAATTTTTTGTTTTTTAAAGAGTAACCATCCTAATGAGTGTGAAATGATATTGTATTTATGATTTGCATTTCCCTAATTATTAGTGATGTCAAGCATCTTTTCTTGTGCTTATTGTCCATTTGTATGTCTTCTTTGGAGAAACATGTATTCGTGTTCTTCACACATTTAAAAAATTATGTTGTCAGACTTTTGGTCAAGATGGAGGCATAGGTAAACAGCTCACCTCCTTGCACAGCCACATCAAAATTACAACTAAGCTGCAGAACAACCATCACTCAGAAATATCAGAAATCGAGTTGAATGGAAGTCTGACAACTATGTAACTAAAGAAACCACATCCATCCAGACTGGTAGGAGATGCAGAGACTTGAAGACACGGTAATGGGCTGGTCCCACACACATGTATGGTGGATAAAAATTTGGGAGGGATATCTAGGGAGTGATGGGTACCAGACGCACACCAGGCCCTCCAGCACAGGGTTCTAGGGCCAGGAAAAGTCCCCATAACTTCTGGCTGTAAAAACTAGCGGGGTTTAGTCAGTAAAAGGAATTACTGGATTCCCAAGAAAAGGGCCCACAACAGACTTACTCAGACTCACTCCCTCTGAGCTCCAGCACCGGAGTAGCACCCATGGCATACAGGGAGGAACTGACATGTCTGGCATTAGGGCGAGAACTAGGAGACAGCTTTCTCCCAGAAAGAAAAGTGGGCAGAAGCCACTGTTACCTTTCTGAGCCCTCCCCGCACAGAGCCACAGAGCTGAAGAGCAGGGCTGTATCTGAGACTCCATCACCCTGGCTCACACAGTTTGCTCTGCCCTCAGGAATCCCTGAGGCTCCACCCCACCCAGCTTACCGGCCCACAAAAGCTGTTAACAGCGACTTTTCCACATGAATGGCTAGTCTCTGCTTAGGCTTCATATCTTCCTAAATCCTCTCAAACAGGCAACAACCAGCCTTAAAGAGCCTCTACGCCCCATACCTCTGGCTCAGTGCCCTGTGCCAGCATTAGCAGCAGCCAGCTTTGGGTGACCATCCAGCTTTGCCCAGGAACCTCTAAGCCCAGCACAAGTAGCAGCATAATTGATAAAATATAATTTAAAAGAAAAAGAATAAAAGAATTTGAAAAAAGAAAAGGTTTTGTTTTGTTGTTGTTTTAGGTCTTCTTTATATATTTTGGATATTAAGCCCTTATCAGATATATGATTTACACATATTTTCCTCCCATTCTCTGGATTGCCTTTTCACTATGTTGATAATACAGTGGTCCCCACCCCCTTATCCACAGGGATATATTCTAAGACCCAAAGTGGATGCCTGAAACCTCGGGTGGTACCAAATCCTATATATACTATGTTTTTTCCTATACATACATACCTACCTTTTCACCTAAAGAAAACAATCTACAGCTTCTCCCTGTCATATCCAAATTGCCAACATCACCCTGGAGCTGTTCTTCAGTGAAATAAGGGTGGCTGAATACAAGAACTGTGATATTGCCACAGACCATCGGATACCCGAGGGAGCAGCTCAGTGACTAGCAGGCAGGCACACAGTGTGGGTATGCTGGCAAAGGGATGACCCACGTCTAAACAGGGTGGTGGGATGGTGTAAGAATTCATCACAATCCTCGGAATGGCACACAATTTAAAATTTAGGAATTGTTTATTTTTAGACCGAGATTGTCCAGGGTAACTGGAACAACAGAAAAACTGTGGTAAGAGGGTACCACTCTAGCTTTTCTTAACTATTTTTTCCATTACCATTGAACCCCCTTATATTCCCCTCCCACCACTATATCTTTTGATGCACAGATCAAATGCAGCCTCTCCAGAAGTCTGAACTCTGTCTCAAGGAATTCGCAGGCAGCATGAACAACCCAGGTTCATAGCTGGCTTCCAAAGTTTGGGGTTGGAGGATCCAGGACCTCCAAGCAGGAAAGGTTTGAGTAGAGAAAGCCTGGTTATCTCCCTTAACTCTTTTTTTTTAAGAGATTTTATTTATTTAAAGATATAGGAAGGGAGGAAGAGAGGGAGAGAAACATCAACTGGTTGTCTCTCACATGCCCCCACCCAGGGACCTAGCCTGCAACTGAGGCATGTGCCCTGACTGGGGATTGAACCAACAACTTTCTGGTTTGCAGGCCGATGCTCAACGCACCAAGCCACACTAGCCAGGGCTAGCTTAACTCCCTTAACTCTCGAAGCTGGCATTATTCCCTCACTACTTGTGAAGAAGCTGAAGCCACTGGAGATTGTGACTGAGGCAAATGCAATACCAGAGGGGCCAGAATTCTGGGCAGGTGATTCATATTCCAGGACACTTCTGTTTCCTCACACATAAACTGGAAATGAACACAACTCTGTGGGCACATGTGTGGCAGTCATCGAAGTCCAGGGAACCGAATCATGTAGGATTTGATGGCAGAGGGGAGTTAGAGACTCTTGTGAGCCAGGGTTCTTTCAGGCCTCCATATTCACATGGACCTCCCTCATTCCCAAAGGGCTTTCATGTCATCTTTCAACCTTACAGAAATCGTATGTGTAGACATCCCTATCCACAGTTTCCAAATTACCTCTGGGGCCACCAGACTTGGAATTCAAGGCTCTGCTTTCGGATCTCAGCCCTCTGACTGAACAGCTTAGCCAACAGGCCAGGCACTTTGCAAGGCTTGTAACCTCTACTAGCAATTGTAGATGAGAATGGCAAGCTCACAGTTTACAAAAGCCTTACTTAGCCCAGAGCCTGGTATATAATAGATGTTCAGTAAACATGGATTGAATCTGAGGATGGGTGTGAGAACCAAACAGGAGAAATCACTTACAATGGCCCTGACATTTGAGAAGAGCTATGAGTAAGCCATCTATGTGCTGGATTCTCTACATCTGTTATGTACCTTATTTCATGTTCATAGCAACCACATTATCCCACTCTCAGGGTATAGAAACAGAATCAGAGAGGTTAAGAAATTTACCCAGCTCACACAGTTGTGAACTTCAAATTTGAAACCCTAATTTCCAAGGACTCACTCCCACCCAAATTTTTATTAAAAACATACAGAAAAGTTGAAAGAATATTTCTTTTTTTAAAAAAAGATTTTATTTATTTATTTTCAGATAAAGGGGAAGGGAGGGAGACAAACATCGGTGTGCAAGAGAAACATTGGCTGCCTCTTGCATACTCTCAGATGCACCGCAGGCATATACAATGACTAGGAATTGAACCAGTTACCTTTCTATCTACAGGCTGGTGGTCAATCCACTGAGCCACACCAGCCAGGACAAGAGAATATTTGTATACAATTCTTCCAAGTTAAACAACTGTTAACATATTGCTACATTTACTTAGTTGCCTTCTCTAATGTATACATACTATTTTGAACTACTTGAAAGTAATATACAGATATCATGTACTTTCACCTGTGTTATGGACTAAGTGTTTATGGTCCCCTCCACCCACCCAATTCATATGTTGAAGCTCTAAGCCCCAATGTGATGGTATTTGGAGATGGAGATGGGTCTTTGGGAGGTTATTAGGGTCATATAAGGTCATGGGGGTAGTGTCCTCATAATGGAATCAGTACCCTTATAAGGAGAGACGCCAGTGAGTTCTGTCTGTCCCCATCTCTCCTCTCTCCCTCCCACTTCACACACTCACCAAGAAGGCGGCAGTCTGCAAGCCAAGAAAGGGGCTCCCATCAGAATCCAACTACAATAAGCATGCCCATCATGAACTTCCAGCCTCCAGAACTGTGAGAAAATTTCTATTGTTTAAGTCACCCGGTGTGTGGTATTTTGTTACATTGGCCTGAGCAGACTAAGACAACTCCTAACACCACAGCATTCTCCTGCAATCATCATACCAGGAAAAATAGGAATTACTCCGTAATATCCAATATCCTATCCAAAGTCAAAACTTCCTCAATTGTCCTCAGAATGTCTTTTTATAGCTGCTTTTAAATCTTCACCCAGAATCTAGGCAAGGTACACACATTATATTTAACAACTTGTAATCTCCAGTTCCCCTGACCTTTCTCCCATCATTTACATTTTTGAAGAGCTCGGGCCATTTGTCTTAGAAAATGAACCACTTTCTAGATTTGTCTAATGTTTCCTCAAGATGCAGTATTTTCTGCATCTTGTTTAAACCAAGATGCAGTATTTTCTGGCAAGAATTCACACGGATATTGTCTATATACTGCAGCATATCAAGAGGTATCTGATGACAGACAGTAAGGCTAGGTCGGTTGAACACTCGGTCGATGTGGTAATGGGGACTCACTTTTAACCTCCACGTAAAGTAAAAGCCACCAGGCTTTCGGCTCCGTCAGCTACGCTGGGGACTGCAGGTCAGGTTCATCAACGAAGGAAAACTGCTTTGGTACCTCTCAGGCTTAGCTTCTTCCTACGTGAGCCCAGGACCACCGCAGCACTGCCCCGCCCCTGTGCAGCGTAGCCACTTCCGGTCTATCCAAGCGGCCCCCGGCCCCGCCGGCCTAGATGTCGGAACCAATTGTGTCCGGCACTACGCTCGGCGTCGACCGCCCGGACTCTGAATCCCGGAGCGCCGGGCGCTGGGGGACGCCGTTAGCCGTGGGCTTCCGAACGCAGGGTGTTTGGCGGCCGCCGCCAGGCCGGAGTTTCGGGCTTCGCCGCTGTGTGTGTTGGTGCCCCCAGCTTAGCCGCGGCCATGGGGATCTTAGAGAAGATATCCGAGATCGAGAAGGAGATCGCTCGGACGCAGAAGAACAAGGGTGAGTGCCGGCCCGAAAGGGGCCTGCCTTTCTGCTCGACTCAGTATTCCTCACTGTTAAATGGGGAAGCAACTCCAGCGGCAGAGCTGGAGCCAGCCCTAAGGTCGCGGAGAAGTGCCGGGGTAGTGCTGAGGTAGTCAGGGCCCGAAGAGAGCTGGTCAGTGCCCGGCCGGGTGGCAGAGAAGAGACCGAGCATTTCTCTAATGCCGGCTCACACGCAGGCGTCCAACCCAGAGTGGCAGGGCCAGGGTTGGAAGCCGGGCCTGCTGCTGGCGGGGCTTGAGGAGTTGGTGCTCTCTCCGTTTGTGCCTGGAAGTCCGGGAGGTGCTTTCCCAAAGATGAAACGTCACTCAGCAGCCGGGTGCCCCGAGGTAGAGTAGTGGAAGCAATCAGGGTTCGGGAGGCTGGCCGACCTGTTCTTGAACCCTGCCTCCACCACTTACCTGCTGTGAAACCTTGGAAAGTCACTTCACCTCTTTGAGCCTCGATGCCCTCATCTGCAAATGGGGATAATAATCCCTTGACCCGGCTTAACCCACAAACTGTGCAGAGCACTAGGCACTTGGTGAGGACTCAGTATTTAAAGTAAACCTCCCAACGTGATGAAAGCACATGATGAAGCATTGGATCAGGGCTTCAGATTGTAAGGGCTGGAGGAACTCAAGAGAGGTGAGGAGACAAGAATGGTGATGCCCAGGAAGGCGTCCAGGAGGAAGCTGGTAGAGGGAAGAGTATCTCAGGTCGGGAGCAAAGGCATGGGAGTCTTTGTGAGCATGATGTGTCCATGGGGCAGAGAGGAGAAAATTCTAGATCAGAAGGAAGTCTGGGAGCAATGGAGGATGAGATTGGCTAGGGTGTCTGAGGCCCAGGGCCTGGCCAGACCATCTGTGGGGTTGCAGGAGCAAGAAGCAAGGAATGCTAGATGGCTGATCTCTGTCCTCCCTTGTCTCCAGTTAGTTCTGAAGGCTGAGGAGTTAAGTGGCTTCTATCATTCATTCATTCTGTAAATCTCTACTGAGCCCTACTGTGTGTGGTTGGAACAGTGAACAAACAAGCACTTCTCCACCTTCATGGAGCTGGCCTTCCAGCAGACAGCCTGTGAATCAGAAACTAAGTAAATAAGGTGATTCCAGATAGCAGTGCATTCTGTGAAGACAAACCAGGGTGCTGGGGCTGGGGGCTGGACCTGGTCTGAGGCAGAATGGTCAGAGGGGACCACCATGAGGAGGAGACATTTGACCTGAGACTAGAACTTTCACATGGAGCCAGTCATGCAGAAAGTTGGGGGAAGACTGTTCTGGCAGAGGAACAGTCGGTGCAAAGGCCCAGGGCAGGAACACACTTGGTATGTCTGAGATCCAGACAATCTTGGCCTGGAGAACTGTGAGAAAGGGAGAGAGCCGATCATGTAGGACCTTGCAGGTCATGGGAAAAGTCCAGGTTGTGTTCCAAGGGCAGTGGGAGCCAGTGGAGAGTGGTAAGCAGGGGAGACATGGTCTGCTTTCTTTTTAAAAGCTCCCTCTCTGGCTCCCCTGTGGAGCATCATCTACAGGACTTAAAGAAAGTAGCAGGCAGGCTAGAGACGCTACCACTTGGGCAGCGGTGAGGAGAAGATAAAGGTGATTAAGACCTAGCCCTTCCCTTCACAGAGGTTTGGAATCTTTATGAGCTGGGATGACAGGAAGGACTGCATGAACCTGACTGTTGTTGAACCCATTCTTGACCAGTTCTCACTGCCACCAGTTCATTCATTCACTTGTTAAAACATTTCCTGAGCACTTGCCTTGTACCACATACCCTGTGCAGGAAGCTGGGGGTACAACTGTGACGTCTCAGTTCCTGTCCTATTAGAGAGAAGGGACTAAAGAAACAATATGGTTTCAAACAGTGATAAGAGCCATTCAGGCACTAACCAGGACTGTGAGGCAGAGTGGGGTCTAGGAAAAGGCGGGGCTACTGTAGACAGTAATAATAACCAATTTTTATTGGATGTTTACTGTTTGCTAGTCGTTGTTCTTAGTGCTTTCTATAAGCCTTACAGAAAGTCCAATGAAGTAGTTATTGTTAACATTCCTATTGTGCAGGCTAAAAAACTAATGCGTAAGAAGATTAAGTAACTTATCCAAAGCAAAATGATTAGTGACTGCAGGGTGGGACTCTAACATGGGCTCTTAACCTCTGCATGACACTGTCTCCCAAGGCTGGATAGGGGAGGCCTTTTTGAAGAGGTGCCATCTGAATTGAGCCTTGAATGTTGAGAAGGAGCAAGCCCTGGAAAGAAAAAGTTGAAATGGAAGGAACAGCAAATGCAAAGGTTCTACGGCAGGAATGGAGTCAGCATATTCTTAAGTAACAAAGACAGCCACTGTGACTGGAATGTAGTAACTAAGCTCAAGAGTGGTAAGAGATGTTGGGGGCGTGGCCATGGACCAGGTCACCCAGGGCCCTGATTCTCAGTCTTAGCCACAGCCTCCTTTTGTAGCAAGATTTTGTAATACCCTCTTTACTGCCCTCAAATGTGATTCCCAGCCCTGGCTGGCGTAGCTCAGTGGATGGAGCATGGGCTGGGAACCAAAGTGTCCCAGGTTCGATTCCCAGCCAGGGTACATGCCTGGGTTGCAGGCCATAAGCCCCAGCAACCGCACATTGATGTTTCTCTCTCTCTCTCTCTCCCTTCCCTCTCTAAAAATAAATAAATAAAATCTTTTAAAAAAAGTGTATGTTAAATTAAAAAAAAATGTGATTCCCCACCAATAGTGAAAGTTTTGTATACAGAGAATTTGAAAAATATCAATATAATGCCCTGATGGTAATATAAAGGGGAAAAAAGAAGAAAGTAATTCATAATAAAAATACTGTGTATTTCATTCAGTACATAAATGTTGGATCATAGCCAGGATGTAACAAGTGGCAATGAAGCAGTGAGATGCTGGCACCTCTGGGTAGAATCTCTGGGGATGTGGCAGCCCCTGTGCAGATCAGGGCAGGCATGTTGTCGTGGCGCCTCAGGTGCCCTTTGCAAGGCACCACTGTAGACGGCTAGGTAAAGTTTCAAGCAAAATGTTCTATTGTCTTCCATGAACATACATAGGAGTTGCATTCCTAAAAATATCAGCATTTAATCACACTGCAAAAAATGCCCTGTGTTTATGTGTAAAACAATGAGGTTACAGCCCCCTTGTGATTCTAACCCAGGTTTTCCCTCTGGAAGTCTTTGGGACATGAAGAGTCATGTGGGACACAGAACAGTTTTTGACTGTGCTGGACTGACTTTCACCTTGTAGGGCAGTTGGCCTTCCTGGCCCCTGCCCAGTAGATGCCAGTGAGGACCTCGCCATGTATTTCCCATGTTCCCATGGGAAATGTCCCTGGGAACTTTCAAGGTGCCCCCAGGGGAGTGGCACTGGGCCTGTTGAGAACCACTGACACGGAGTCTCCAGATCTCCACAAGGAGACTTTTATTCTGAGTGCAGCAAGAAGCCACAGGGGAATTTTCAGCAGAGGAGAGTGTTTTCTTTCCTCAGTTGACAATGACTGCCATTTAGTCCTGATGTTCCCGGCCAGCATGTGGTGGTGTGTGGCCCCGCCTGACCCATGGAGCTCAGATGCTTTGGACACTCACCTTCTTCCCGCTCTTCATCTTTCAGCCACTGAGTACCACCTGGGCTTGCTGAAAGCAAAACTTGCCAAGTATCGGGCCCAGCTCCTAGAACCGTCCAAATCGGCCTCATCCAAAGGAGAGGGCTTCGACGTCATGAAGTCAGGTGACGCCCGAGTGGCGCTGATTGGATTTCCCTCTGTGGGTAAGGTCAGTGATGGTCACCTCGGGCCTTGGGGAGGAAGGCAGGTTGTCTCCTTTCAAATAGGACAGCGACTCTTCTGAGAGAGGACCTAGCCTCCACCACCATCAGGTCCCACCCCTGCATTATCCTAACATGGAGAACATTCTTTTTAAAATTATTTTATTTTGTTTTTTATTTTAGAGGGGGAGGGAGGGAGAAAGAGAGGAAGAGAAACATTGATGCTAGAGAGAAACATTGGTTGCCTTCCGTATGTGCCTTGACTAGGGACTGAACTGCCACCCAGGCATGTGCCCCAAACCAGTGACCTTTTGGTTTGTGGGATGACGCCCAGCCAACTGAGCCACACCAGCAGAGGCTAGAGAACATTCCTTCCACTCTAGCAGAAGTGGCTGCACTTGGTCTCAGACCCTTTGTTGCACACATTTAGTGAGTGTGCAGCAAGTGCCAGTTGCTGGAGGAACAGCACATGCCAGGAGGTAGGTCTGTCCCTGCCCACACAGAACTCCCATCTCAGGGGAACAAAGACAGGAAGCTAGTCGAGCATCAGGTGCATCAGGTGGGGACTGAGGGGCATGGATTGGGGGCTAGGGGCCTTCCATTTGTGTCAGGGGTCTGGGAAGGCTGCTCTGACAAGCAGATACTGGAGCCAAGGCATGAAGGAAGTGTGGGAGCTTGCAGAGCCCCAGGAAAAGGAACACCCCAGGTAGAGGGAGCAGTGAGTGGACAGGCCCATAAGTGGGAGCTTGCTCAGTATGGTCAAGGGGGCCAGGGCGGCTGGGTCTGAGTGAGCAGCAATGGGAGACGCAGAGTAGTGGCTGGATGGCCTTGGAGGCCATCATACAACTTTGTTCTTGGGTGAAAAAAAGTGAGGTGGGAGCCACCAGAGTTTTCTAAAAGGTTTCTTCTGTGTCTTAGTTTAGGGTAAAATTCATATTTAATTTTATGTGGGGAGCAAGATAAACATCACTGAAGGGTTTTGAACAGAAAAGGACTGACTGAACTGACTGACTTTCTTTAAAAATAAACTTTAAATTTTAAGAGTCATGTATTTACCAAGAAAACTGCAAAGCTAGTAGAGTTCCTGTATTCCCCACACCCAGTTTATGCCAATTTCCTTTGTTTTTCCTGCCCCAGGAGACTACAGTATGCTCAGTTTTCATGTTTCCTTGGGCTCTTCTTAGACCTGCCTTGATTTGATGACTTCGATAGTTTTGAGGAATGCTGGTTGGGTGTTTTGTAGAAAGCCCTTCCATTGGGGTCTGTCTGATATTTTTGTCATGCTTAGACTGTGGTGATGGCTTTTGGGGAGGAAGGCCACAAAGGGAAAGTGGCATTTTTATCCCATCATGTCAAGGTACATACTATTAACATGACTAATCTCATATGATGTTGCCCTTGATCACCTGGCCAAGGGAGTGTTTGTCAGGCTTCTCCACTGCAAACTCATTGTTCCTCTCATGCTCACACTATCCTCGTAGAAGGGAATCACCACGTGCAGCCCGCACACGGGAATGGGGAGTTAGTTCTACCTCCTTTAGAGGGAGTAGCCACACAAATTATCCAGAAGTCTGTACAGGAGATTTGTCTCTTCTCTCCATTTTATTTAATCCTTTATTTATTTCAGTATGGACCTATGGGGATTTATTCTAGACTTTGGGCTCTAATATCAGACTGTTATTTTGTTACTCAGATTGTTCTAGTTTCCGAGCCATTGCAGTTGGCTCTTAGACATACTGCTGTTGTGTTTTTTCAGTACTTTCGTACTTTGTGATATCAGAAGATACTTCAGGCTCATTTGTCTATCTCCTGCCCCAGTCCTGGAATTGATCATTTTTCCAAGGAGCCTTGGTCCCTTTTATTGGAGAGTGGTCTTTAGAAACCCAGGTGGGGGAGCTGACTCGTTTTGTAACAGAGTCACTCTGGCTCTGTGCGAGGATGATAGGTTGGGACAAGGCTGGAAGCAGGGAGGCTGGTGGAGAGGCTGCTCACATATAAGCTGAGTGAGCAGTGACCAGGTGGCTTGGGCCAGGTGCTGGTGGAACAGCTTTTGAATCAGTTCAGCTAAAAAATGTACTGAACCCATTACTATGGGCCACACAGAGAAGAAGTTGGTAACAGCCACCATTTCTTGAGTGCTTGTTGCAGCCTGGAGAGTCCACTTTGCTTTGCAAGCGTTTTTTGTTTTTTTTTTCCCTCTGCCTGTATAATTGGGTATGTGTATTGTGGGGGTTGGGTCTGGATGTGACCTCTGACTCCGCACATACATAGTGCACATGGGGTCATACCTGCATTTGCCACTGGCACTTTCACTTCACCGAGGACATCCGTCGTGTTCATATTAACACATTAGAATTACCTCATCTCTTGACAACTGCCTGGAGTGCCATACTGTGGCTCTGATCAGGCCTGTTACCCACCTCCCCTGCTGCTGGCAGCTAGGTGTCCAGGCTTCTGTTCAAGCATGCAGCGCTACAGAGACTGTTTTGTGCTTGAAGGTCTGTGCACTGCGGCTTGTGTTTCTAGAGGACGTGCCCAGTGGCTCAGAGCTTTGGGTTTTTAAAGCAGCCATCAGCCTTACTAATTACCCACCAAGGAGACTCCAGCTGACTCCATCTGGGGCAGGTGGAAGTGTTTCCTAGTGTACCCACTGGACACAGTGCTGTGTCCTGGTGGGGTTTTGGGTGCTGGGCTGGGTGCCAGGCCGACTGGGACGGGCGTCTGCTTCAGAATCTGCAGAAAGGCTCCTTCCTGATGGCATCTGAGTGCTCTTTAATCTTCAGGAACATACTTACCCCCGCTGGATTTTATTACCGGTAGCCAGCTGTATGCATTTCCTCCTGGTCCTCCCTCGGTGTGGACTCAGAAAGTGCAGTGCCATCTCAGTTATCATCTGAGCCCAGTAGTGTGGGACTAGGAAAGGTGCTGCAGATGAAAGTTAGGCTGAAAACCGCCCCACAGCTCCTACGCCTCCAAGCCTTTTGCTGTTCGTGTAACATATGCCTTTCAACCCTCCCGTAAAATGTGAGCACCCATTTTACAGGCCTTTTTCTGGCCTGTACTCACATTCCTTTAATGGTGGGGTGCTCATGACTCCCCAGTTTCACAAAAGTCAGATGGAGCTACCCAGGGGCTTCCTGCTTCAGCCCCTCCAAAGGAGCCATAAGAGCTAGAGTCCCTCCAGCGGAGAGGGCAGGGCTTGCCCTGGTGTACCCTCTGTGGCTGAATGCCCTGGCAGTCTTCACTCCTGGAGTGGTTTCCAGGTCCTCTGACTTTTTGATTCTTTCTCATTCTTCCCAATTCTGGGTAATAAAAATTTCCAAGTACACAGAAGAGGTGAAAGGACAGGTATGATGTGCCCTCTCTCAGATGCACCACTGAGGGACATTTCGCCTCATTGCTGTCTCTATGTATGTGTGTGTTGGGGTGGGGTGGGGGGTTGTTTTGACTGAACCATCCAGGAGTAAATTACAGGTGTCATACTTCATGTACCTACAGCCCTAAATATTTAAGCTTGTATCTCCAACAAACAAGAACATTTTGCTTCTTAGCCACAAACTGGTAGAGCACACCAAATAATATTGATAGTAATACAGTAATCATCTAATGCCCAGACTACATTCTGATTTCAGCAGTTAACCCAAAATGACATCTGTGGTTGGTGTGTCCAAGCTAGGGTCCGTTCTAGACCACACGGAGCCCGTGTGTGTTGTCACTACAGCTCCTTTCATCTCGAATAGCCCCTTTTGTCATGACCCTGACTCGCCAAAGAGACCAGACCAGTTGTCCTACAGAAAGGCCATGCTCCGGAGAGGTCTGCTTCTTCTTCGTGGCATGCTTTAGCTTGTATGTCTTCTTATATACTTCCTGTGACCAGAGAGTGGGGGCTTTGTCGCCCAGGCTCCAGGTGGTAGGTGGTGGATGCCTCACTTGGCACCATGCCAGCACACCCAAGCAAGTGCTGCTCTGGTGCTCACAGAAATCAGGCCTGGCCACCTCCTTTCAGTGCCTGTAGCACCAGTGAATGGTCCTGGTCCAGGGGTTTTTGTTAGTGGTTGTGAATAGCAGTTCTCTAGTTCTCTTACCCATCTGCACTGGTTAGCTGATGGTTCCTGTGAAGCAGCCCTTTGTCTCATCATAGGACTGTTTGGTTGCTCTGAAAAAGGTCACCGGGAAAGACAGGGCAAATGCTTACATGTTGCCTTTAAATGACCCAGCAAGGTGTTGAGCTCACAGTTGTCCCATAGGTGACAAGTGAGGAGTTCCAGGCTCTAACTCTTCAGGTATCATTATGGGCTCATTAGCTTTCACCTTTTCTTCTGATTTCACTTTGCAGTCTGCCACAGACTTTTACCCTAAGTGAGACGCCTAGACTGGGAGATGCCACTCTCGTTTTCCAGGCTGGGGCCATGGAGCCAGATCCCACTGTCCTGATGGGAATCCTGGCTATCTGGCCATGGGAGGACCCAGCCTGGCCTGCAGAGGCCAGACAGGGTCAGGGGTGTCCTCCAGAGGCCCTTGCTCTACCGCCCCAGGGCAAAGAGTTTCTGGATTTGAGGCCTGTGTTCTCCTTGTGTGCCGCCTTCTAGATTTCATTCTCAGGGTGTGTGAGTGAGGTGTGCCACCAGCCTTCCTGCCTGCCAGTGAGGGGCACAGTCCAGAGCACCAGCCCTGGATCTAGGCGGCACCATCCCAGTCGAAATTACACCCTGGGGTTCTTTCTTTCAGATACCCTGCTGACTAGGTGGGCTTGAGGCCAGGGCAGATTTCTTTTCCTCCTGGTGCTGTCCACAGCTTTGCTTGCCCCTGGGCTGCAGCGTCCAGTGCTGTGGTCTTGCTGTACCCCGGACTCAGTGCACCACAAGCCATATCATCTCATCCTGTTCCACACAGCCCCTTGGGAGAGGGACTGGGCAGGTGCCCGCTCCATATAGGAGGACTCTAAAGCTTAGAGGATGAAGTTTTTTGCCCAGTCCCCCAGCAGAGGCGGGCTGCCAGGCCAGGTCTTTGTCTCCTAGCCAAGCCCTAGCCACATTCCCACAGTGAACCCTCTCAGGAGCGTTCCCACCGGGCCCTTCCTAGCCTGCCTCTCCCCTCCTCCTAACACCTCCTCCCATGACCTGGCTTTGAAGGTTATCATCTCCCTACACATCTCGCCTCTCCCAGGGTGAGCAGCAGCTTTGAGTGCCATGGGGCTGCCATCTGCTGGAAGCTCTGTGGGGCCCAGGAAGGTCTGGAGGGTTTCTGTGCAGCTTGGGAAGGGCCCCTGAATGAAGTTGGGGAACACACCTAACAACCAGGTGCCTGTGTCCCCAAGACAGGTTTGAGGCCTGCGAGGGGAGCCCAGCCTTCCTGAACAGGGCCTGAGGCAACTTTTCCCACTGTTGTTCTCTTCCCTGTCCCCCTCCTCACCCTCCCACCCCATCACCAAACAGAGAGTGAGGAAAGGGTCTCCCTGCTGCCTGTGGCCTGGGGGTTCTCCAGGGAGACAGGACAAGACTCAGTGTCACAACCTTCTTTTTCTCCTAGTCCACCTTCTTGAGTCTGATGACCTCCACAGCCAGTGAAGCTGCATCCTATGAGTTCACAACCCTGACATGTATCCCTGGGGTCATTGAAGTAAGTTGAAGTTCGCTGGATCCCAGGAGGCCGTGGGTGTGTGCTTGTGTTTTCGGTTGTGTGCAAGTATGTCCTGAGTGTGTGTCCCCTGAAGCCTGGATACCTCTGGGCATTCTGGCTGCTGAGACCCCAGAGATGCGTGGCCACCCTGCAGTGCTGACCAATTCCAGGGATCAGTCTGTGGGGGCCAGGTCTCCTGGTGCCCTTTATGCCCACTCCCCTGCCCCCCCATCTCAGGCCACCCACTGCTGCTGGGCTGGACCCCGCTGCCTGGAAGGCTTGGGAGCCCTGTGCTGCTGGCTTCCTGTGGCCTTGAGCCTCTCACAGTGAAGCACTTTATTGTGAAGAGCTCTTGCAATCAGCGATGGGTATTGTGGGATTGTAAAAACTCTAGAGTCTTCCCCCAGGTGGCTGCTCAGTTCCCAGTGGGGGATGAAGCCCAGACATGGCCCTAGAGGCCGACCCCCAGTTCCCAGCAGCCCCTAGCTGCCAACTGTTGTCAGGGTCCTGGGCTCAGGCCGGTGCAGCCCAGGGCAGCCCATCCTCACCTCATTGCCCTCTCTTCTGCCTCCTAGTACAAAGGAGCCAACATCCAGCTCCTGGACCTCCCTGGAATCATCGAAGGTGCAGCACAAGGTATGAACTGGGCACCCGGGGCCCACCTCCTCCCTCAGGGTGCAGGGAGCCCCACTGTTAAAATTGGGTGGGGCTCACAATCTCTCACACTGCTCAGTGCTCTGTACCTGGAGCCCTAGCCCAGTACAGTCCTGAGAGACCCACCTTGAAGCCAAGGAAACAGGCAGTGAAAGGACTTGCCCAGGGTTGCCCAGCTCACAGACAGGCTTGAACCCCACTTCCACTCCATGTGCTCCCCTGTGCCCTGCGAGGGGTGGACGCTTGTTAGCTGGCCATCTCAGACTGTGCTCCTGTTTTGTCCTTTGTTGTTTGGGGTTGGGGTTTTCTTTTTGTTTTGTTTTGTTTGGTTTTGTTTTGTTTTGTTTTAAGATGAAAAACATTCCTGTGTTTTCTTGTGGCCGGTGGCTGTGTGCAGCATTTGCAGAGATGGTCACTAACTGGCAGTTGTCCAGCCCATGCTAAGTGCCAGGCTCTGTGCTGACCATCAGCTCACTTAACCCTCCTATAGCCCAATAACCCTGTGATTTAGGGAGTGTATCACTGTTTTTGTTTTTTTTTTTCATAGCCAGGAGGAGCCCAGAGGGGCAGAAAGTTCAAGGATCTGCCTTAAGTGACAATGTATTCTGTTCAGTGATGGAGCTGGGCTGGGCTTCCTCTTTGCAGGGAGCCTCTCACAGTGAAGCACTCCTGCCTACAGGGCCCAGTGCCTCCCTGTCAGGGACCTTCCTGTGCCCTACTGCCTATTGCATGGAGGTCCTGCCTGTTGAGCCAGGTGGGGGGTGGTATTGGTTCCCACGCCATCCCAGTGGCACATTAGGGGCCTGCAGGGGCCTGCCACCTGTGGGGAACGTTCACAGGCTAGAGGCAGCTGGGTGGCAGGTGTTGCCTGTCGGACCCCTCATTCTCAGGTCAGAGATCTGGGTAGACCCTGGCACTCCAGTTCTGGCCCCCAGCCTTGCCTGACATTAGCAAGGTACCTGACCCCTCTAGTCATCTGATAATAGTGGAGCCTGGCCCTTGTGTGACAGTCCCTGAAGCACTTCTACCTGTTCTGTCTCCTGGGGCCCTGAAGCCCAGTGGGTGCTCTGTCACCCCACTTTCAAGAAAGGGCAGATAGTTTCAAATCCTAGCATTACTGGTTTTGTGTTCTTGGGCAAGTGATGGGGTATCTCTAAGCCAAGCCTCAGCTTTCTTATCTGTGAAGTCGGCATGATGAAGCACTGGGCATCCAGGGTAGTTTTAAGGGTCGGGTGAGAAAGTGCTCACGAAGCACTTAGCACAGGACCACCACCACCCTGAGGTGGCGATGTCATTGTCCTTCTAAAGCAAGTCTCCACGAGTAAGATCACGCCTAGATTAACAAAATGCCAAAGGAATCATAGCCTTGGAGGAGGCACGTGGCAGGTCTATGAGGCCCAGGAGTCTGAGGTGCTATGGGCTGGGTGGAGTCATATGGGTCTTGCTCCTGTCCCTGTGTGACCGTGTCCCTTCTGCCTGTCCAGGGAAAGGCCGTGGCCGGCAGGTGATCGCTGTCGCACGCACAGCTGACGTCGTCATCATGATGCTAGATGCCACCAAGGGAGAGGTGCAGAGGTCCGCGGGATGGGGTAGGGGGGCAGGCTCTGGGCTCCAGCAGATGTGTCCTAGAGCCCATGGTGGACAGAATGATGCTTGGCCCTGTTGCGTGGGAGTAGTGGCAGGATTGTCCACAGGCTAAACCCATAGCACTGGGTCTGATGCATCCGCTCCAAGAGGCTTACATCCAGCGTGGAGGCTGGCGGAAGCTCTTAGCAGGAGCTCCCTGGCAGCACTGGCCGTCTAAGGCCACAGGAGTGTGGCCTGGCTCTGGCTCCTGCCTACAGGGCCCAGTGCCCCAGGCATTGCCCCAAACCTGCCTGGAGCCCAGCCCCAAGTAACAGAAGCTTGTTCATGCTCAGCCAGTTGCCCCTGGACTAGGTAAAGGTTCCAGAGGCTCCCCTGCAGCTCTGGGTTGTTGGGAAGGAATGTTCCAGGTTGCTAGGGGTAGTTAGAGGAGGGTGGCATGGGTTTCCTGTGTAGCAGGAGGCTATGCAGACTGCCCCTGAGCCCCTGTGAAGGCCATGGGGGCTCTTCCCAGGTCTTTGCTGGAGAAGGAGCTGGAGTCGGTGGGCATCCGCCTCAACAAGCACAAGCCTAACATCTACTTCAAGGTGAGGCCCCTGTCACCTGCAGGCTGCAGTGCGGGGGATTCTGGACTGGGTCAGCCAGTAGCTAAGGCACATGGGGCAGTTGCAGCTGGCCCTTCATCAACAGGTCTCCTTTCCCCTCTCCTCCTCCAGCCCAAGAAGGGTGGTGGCATCTCTTTTAATTCGACCGTGACACTGACCCAGTGTTCAGAGAAGCTGGTGCAGCTGATCCTGCATGAGTACAGTATCCTTAATGAATGGGTGGCGAGGGGTGCCCAGAGCCTCCAGGGCATGGGAGGGACTCCAGAAACGCCCTTTTGCCCCAGGAACAGCAGGCCTCCCGGCCCCCGGAGCAGGTGGTAAGAGAACTGCAGCAGCAGCATGGCACGAGGGGCTCCCGACCCCCTTGTCTGTGTGCTGTCCAAGTGGAGGCTTACCAGACTACAACCTGTCTTGTGCCCAGCAGTGGCTTCCTGGTTCCTCACCAATTACAAGATGTTATGGTGGCTGGTCACATCTGGAAGGAAGACGAGATGGCAAGGGAAATAGCCCCTGGGGCCCAGGGCCTCCTAGTCTAGAGAAGCCTCTGCACACACCACTAAAGTATTGTCAGGGGCCGGGTGGGTTCTGGGGCTCCACAGGTCAGGGTAGGGCTTCTGAGCTCGGCATTGGGAGAACTCACAGTGAGATAGGACCTAAGGAGGTGGTGAGGCCCTCGTCCCTGGTGGTGTGTAAGCAGAGGCAAGATGGCACCCAGAGGAGAGTTCTGCATGTGCAGAGTGGTGGGTGAGACTAGAGCTTTCAGACAGCACTCCTCTGAAACCTGGGTGTCCACTGAGTTGCTCGGGATTCTGGCAAATAGGTTTTCTTGCCTAACAACAAAGATTTAAACTATTGATTGAAACTTTTACATATTGTGGCTGCTTTTGAAAAATAAAATGAGGGTCTCCTCAAACTTTAAAATCTTGTAAAACCTTGCAAGTGGATGACCTCTAATGTCCCTTTTAGCCAGTGCACTTACTGATGGGCTGTTCTGGGCCCTCACAGAGTGGGCGCAAGGGGCTGCTAGTGCACAGGTTGCCCTTAATCTGAGTCCCACAGAGATCTTCAACGCAGAGGTGCTCTTCCGAGAGGACTGCTCCCCGGACGAGTTCATTGACGTGATTGTGGGCAACCGGGTGTACATGCCCTGCTTGTATGTAAGTGGCACAGGTCCCTACCCCACACCCTGTGGGAGGGGAGCCTTCACCCTGGGCCCCCTTGACCCAGATAGGAGACAGGCTCCTTTGAGGAACAGAAAGAGCCTGCAACTGTCTTCTCCACCCTCATCTCCCCTCTACCCTAGCAGCTCCTTGAGTCTTATAGACGTGTCTCACTTGATACTGGGGTTCTAGCCCAGCCTTTTGAGGGCGCTGGCAGCTCAGGCCCCTTCCACCTTTCCCCATGATGGAGACAACAAGGGGAGGGAGGACACTTAGTGCCAGCCCCCGTGCCACAGTGTGCAGAGGGAGGGACTGTGGCAGGGCTGTGGCTGTTTGGAGGCCCTTGTCCTGTGCTCCTTTGTTCTTTTTCTTCCCCAGCACCCTCTTCTGCCTTTGAATCCCAGGTTTATAACAAAATCGACCAGATCTCAATGGAAGAAGTGGATCGCCTGGCCCGGAAACCCAACAGCGTGGTCATCAGGTGAGGCCTCTTCCTGTATGTGAACTTGTCTGTGCAGCCTCCACAGCATGGCTCAGGGCAGAGGCAGCCCTCCCAGTTGCTGGGCGCCTTGGCTCAGTCCCACCCTGAATTGACATGGACAGTGTCAGTTATGTGGGGTGGACTCTGGTTAAGGAAACTGAAGGCTAATGTCCATCGAGGCGAATGGTTAAGAATGGTGAATAGGTTTCATAAGTTAGTGGTTAAACTCAGTCTCCCAGAAGGCACTGGGGTGTAAGCCAGCACTGCTGGCACTGTGGACAGTGTGGCCCTATCAGTGCAGAGCAAAGGAAAAGGGAGCTGAAGTCATCAGGTGGGCAGAGCAACCCTTGACCACCTGCTCCCTGTCCACATGGGTGGGTTTTGGAGCCACATGTACCCTGGCTGGTGTGACTTCCCATCATCACTGTGGGGCTCCTCTTTTGAGGCATGCCGACTGTGTCCCACTTTGCTGGTTTCCCAGCTCAAACCAAGCACCCTGCAGCTTCACAATAGGGCTCAGCTTACAGGGAGGAAGGCTTACCTTCTGGATATCTCCACCCCCAAGATACTCACCTTACTTGGAGGCCTAGCTGCTGAGTTCAGGCAATTTTCATTGACCTTGACCTTGCAAGCAAGGGGAGAACTAGGGGAGAGCAAGCAAGAGGAAGGTGCTTAAGGACCAGGTGGGGGTGACATGTGCCAATGATCAATGAGGGTCCTGGACGCAAGCACACGGACCTTTCCTGGGCATTGCCAGCTGCCCTGAGGGCAGCAGAGAGCCATCGTCCCTCCTGTAGGACAGCCTCAGCCCCTCCTCCTGTCACACCCCAGGCTCCCTGCAGGGGATTCCTGGGGACACACCCATCTTTGGAGGGTGAGAGCACATTTACCTGCTCGTTGTGCTCAGAATGGCTCCGTGGAGGGTTGGCACCCGCCCAAGGCAAGACAGCTGGGGAGGGTCAGCAGCCAGCCCCCCCCCCCCCGCCCCGTCACCACAGTCCCTCTCAGGAGGGGGCAAACCCCAGATTGTCATGCCTTGCCCCTGATCCCATCACAGCCCCACACCAGCCCCTACACAGCAGGTGCCAGGAGAGGAGAACTGCCTCCAGGCATCTCTGTCAATTACACTTGCCATGTGCCCTGCACAGAGGGCAGTGGTGACCCCTAGGAGACATGGCTGAGCTCTGTGGGGCATGACCGCAAGGGCTGGCTAGAGACCTTGGCTGCTGAAGTGTCACGCTGCTGTCAGAACTATAGGCTTGGCTTCCGCTGGGCCAGGCTCCAGCTGGGCCATGTTGGCCTTGGTGCCTGTGCCCAGCCAGATGGAGGTTGTCCTCTGCTGCAGTGGGGAAACAGAGATCCCTCCCTGGCCTCTGAACCCAGGGGCCTCCTCTGACTGGCCACCTTCCTTCCCGGCAGCTGTGGTATGAAGCTGAACCTGGACTACTTGCTAGAGATGCTTTGGGAGTACTTGGCCCTGACCTGCATCTACACCAAGAAGAGAGGACGTGAGTCGGGCAGCCTGTAGCCCAAGAAACAGCTGAGCCTCACCCTCTGTCAGGGCCACCATGCTCTGCACGTGGTGCCCAAAGGTCTAGTGCCCTGGCCCAGCTTGTCTTGCACACGTCTCCGCTTTGTCCCTATTCAGAACTGATCCTGGCCTCTACTTCAGCTGGGAGAGGCCTCAGCCTGAGTCCTGTGGCAAAGAATGCCAAGCTCTGGGGCTCCTGGTTTTGAGGGTGCCCTGAGGGGCAAGGGTGGGGGGCAGTGGAATAGACACTGTTCTGGAGTTCCCCACCAGCTACAGCAGTAACCCGTGCTCCTGATGTCCCCGCACTGTGGCTGGCCCCATGTCAGGACTTTAGGTCACTGAATGCACAAGAGCCTTTTCCATATCTCCACCCCCAAGATACACACCTTACTTGGGGGACTAGCTGCTGAATTTTGGCAATTTTCATTGACCTTGACCTCGCAAGCAAGAGGAGAGCTATGGCTGCCAATGATTGGATGCCAACAGTTGTCACACCTCACCAGTGCTTTCTAGATGCTCCCTCTGGCTCTCCTCAGCTGGGGCTCTCATGACTGACTGGGTTGCAAGCAGTTTGAACCCTGGACTTGTATTTGCTTTGATTTTCCGTGTTAAGGTCAAGGTTGTAGAAGACTGCATGGGGATCTACAAAGAGGGTGTGCTGAATAAGGGCTAGGGAGGCTAGCCCAAGGCTGGGGATGGGAAGGGCCTTTGTCGTCGGTGGAAAGGAACCACAGAGCATGGGCAATGACCACGGCTCACACCCACCCCCATCCCTACCTGTGCAGAGAGGCCGGACTTCTCAGATGCCATCATTCTCCGGAAAGGGGCCTCCGTGGAACATGTGGTGAGTCGGCGAAACCTGCCTGGATAAGGGATCAGGGAGCACCCTCCGTCTCCTCTAGGGATGGGGCCTGCCTGAAGCTCTTCTGGCTCTCAGCTGACTGGACAGCACATGCTGCATCAGCAGAGGGCCACGGCCCTGGCATTGGACCTGGGATGCATCCCATCCCAACTACTCTTCCTGGCTGCATGTCAAGCCTCTGTTCTCTGTGTGACAGGGGTAGTGCTGCCCACCCACTGGTAGTTGGGGGTGGTGTTGAAGGAGGTCAAATGTGGAGAGCCCTCAGCATACTGCCCAGTGCACAGTAAGTGTCCAGAAGCAGTGGTTCTTGCTGTCCCGTTCTACCTCAGTGCTGTGGGCTCCTCAGAGCTTCGAAGACACTCTGTTGAGGGGAGCTCCTGCCCCTGTGGATTCCTGGGTTCATTTCAAGGAGTGTCTCCTCATGCTGGCCTAGGACTCAGTTGCCACCTGCCATGCTAGTGGCCCCTGGCCTCTAGGTCTCCATCCTCCTCAGCATGGCCTGCCCTCCCTGCTCCCACATCCTGCCCTTGGCCTGGGTGTGGCTGTGAATGCTTTCTTCACCCCACACAATTTATTGAGCATCAACAAAGTAGACCCATTCCTGCCAGAACCAGAACTAGTGTCCTTTGGGGTCCACAGATGCCAGACACCCAATGTCAGAGCTAAGCCATTACACCTAAAGGTGAGTGTAGGGAAGGATGAGGATGGTGAGCAGGGACAGGTGCCTCCATCTACACAGAGAGGCCAGGGGCTCTTGGAGAAGGTGGCCTGAGGGGCTCTGGAGACCAGCAGGACCTGGCTGAGGAGGTGACAGTAGGAGGAGCACCCTGACCCGCTCCCCGGGCAGGGGAGCAGGGTGTGCAGTGAGTCAGGGCTCTGGACCAAACCAGTGGGTCAGGGAGAGGAAGGGTGCGTTTCTGTGTCAGAGACACGAGGGTCCCCTCTCCCTGAATGTGTCCCTGCACAGTCTGGAGCAGGTGACACGAGAACCAAGGTGATGCTTCGGGTCACATAGCCATCTTCTTCGGCTTTTGTTTTCCTCTAGCTCAGTGATTTCTACCTTTTTCATCTCATGGTGTACATAAACTAATTACTATAATTCTGCACCAAAAAACATATTTGTGCCAATCTGACCAAAAAAACCCAAAATTTTTTAAAGATCTTATTTTTATTTTATTTATTACAGAATTTATTTATTTTTAGACAGAGGGAAAGAAAGGGAGAGAGAAAGATATCAATGTGTGGTTGCCTCTCATGTACTCCCTACTGGGGACCTGGCCTACAACCCAGGCATGTGCCCTGGCTAGGAATCAAACCACAACCCTTTGGTTTGCAGTCCTGCACTTTTTACAGAGGGGAAAGGAAGGAGAAAGGGAGAGAATCATCGATCAGTTGTCTTGTACACCCCCAACTGGGGACCTGGCCCGCACCCCAGGCGTGTGCTCTGACTGGGGATTGAACCAGTGACCTTTCAGTTTGTGGGATGAGGCCCAACCCACTGATCCACACGAGTGAGGGCAAAACAGGTATAGTTTTCAGTCATTCCCACTGGACGGCTATGGTTGTGCTGGCTGCTGTCACTTTTTTATTTGACAGTCTGAGGGAAAGAGGTCCATACCCCTGAGTAAATGGACATGTTTTAGGAATTCTTGCAGTGCATGGATTGGAAGTCACTGCTCCAGCTCATGTCCTCTCAGGATCCTTGGGCAGGCAGACCTACAGCCTGGCCCCAGTCGTTCTGGACAGCCTTTTCACCCAGCGGAGGTGGCCATGGAGACCCACGACCTCCCTTCCACACCCCTTAGGTTGCTCCAAAGAGCTCTATGTGGGAGTCCCTGTGCCCCGGGCCTGTTTTGGAATGTGTGACTATAGTGCCTCCTGCTGGGCTCTGGTAGGCCATTGACACAGCTGCCCACGGGTGCTGGCCTTCCCTGGGGAGACCCTGCACTGTGTGTGGGCAGTTTCCTCAACCCTCTCAGTGCCTCAGCTGCTTGCCCAAGAGCATATGAGGTTCAGCCATACCTGAGGAGCAGAGCAGGAAGCACCAGGGGCAGAAGGGTATTGTGGACAGTAGGGATACAGGTGCAAAGGCCCAAAGGCAGGAGCAAGCTGCTGAGCGCCAGATGTTTGCTCCCAGCCACTGTGGAGTCCAAAACAGCAGGTGAGCTAAGAGGTGTGGGGAGGGGCTTTGGAGGCCTTGCGCCTAAGCCTGGACTTTGACCCAGAGATGCCTGCTCTTCATTCTTTACCCCCTCCTCTCTCACCTTCCTTCCTGGGACACCTACCTGTCCCAGGTGTCTGGATGCTGACAACAGAGACCCAAAGGAGAGGAATGACTTGGGTGTTGGAACGAGGCAGACCTGGGGCTGTTCCCAGGTCCCTGTACTGTCAGCCTCCCAGTGCCCCAGTGTTTGGGGTGGGGACCCTGTCCCCAGGGCCTCTGTAATGTGCCCTGCCCAGTCCCTGCTCTGTCTTCATTGAGCTGACAGAGGCCTTGCCTGTGAGCAGCGTGACCTGTAAGCCTCAGAGGCAGAGGACATGTCAGGCTTTCCCAGTCGCAAGGCACAGTGGACTCTGAAGAGCAAGAGTCTCCATCTCCAAATGCTGTGCTCTCCCATGTTGAAACAAGGGCCTTGGAGGACCTTTTGTTCCTCCCAACTGCAAGGGCCATGAGTGCAGCTCCTGCTGCTAGCACTGGACCTCAGTGTTAGATACAGTAGGCCATGCTGGGGCCTCTGGCCAATGGGTGTGCACATGCCCCACCTGCTTCAGGTGCACAGCAGCCAGTGCCCCCCGGAGCTTACCGGCTCCCTGGAGAGCCATGTGACTGCGGGACCCTGCTTTGCCAACTGTGCTGGTGGGTTTAATTTCATTGTTGGGCAAGCTGAAGAAAACTTAAAATCCATCTGCAGGCTTGAGCTGACCTCTGGGCCACCAGATTTCATTTTCTGGCCTAGAAATCAAGTGTTGGAGCTGCATGTGTGGGTGTCTGCTTGTCACTGGCAGCAGCACCCTCTCTGCCATGGCTTTGGCATCCTTGCTCACCCAGAGGATGCCTGGACCAAATGGCTCCTTGGGCAATGTTCTTGCAGGCCCCATGCCTATGTCTGTCCACACAGATGCTGGGCTCAGGCATTGGGTCTCTGGCCAGCACCACTAAGGCTGTGGGCACGAGGGAGGAGAGGCGACGTTGCCTCATCTTCTCCCTGCCCACCTCCACTGTGCCCACCCTGCACCCTGGGTCCACATTCTCAGGGGACGAGCTGTCTGCCCCTCCAAGGCCACTGCCTCTGGCCTCCTGAAAGTACTGGGGTCCCCACGACCTTTGAGTCTATCTGGGAGTGCTAAAGGATCGGGACTGTCATGAGGTGGGGGTGGGTGATGTGATGTGGTGGGGGGGTTGTTCCAAGTCACAGCTGTAGACAGGAGACCTGAGAGACCATGACCAGGCCTGGTGACCCCAGGCTGAGCTGGGGTGTCCTGAAAACATCCTTGCTCATCTGAAAGGGCATCTGTCAGGGCTGTTGTTTGGACAAGGTGGGCAGAGGGCCGCTGATAGCAAGCCTGTCCAGCCCTTCATCCAGGGGCTGCAAGAACATTCCTAAGTGGGCCCCACGACCCTTGGGCAGACCTAGGGGTCTGAACATCAGGGCAGCCTGTGGTCATGACTGGGGCTGTATGCGCAGCACATGGGGATCTTGGGAAGGGGCCAGAGCTGTGGGAGCACCTGCCCTGGGGATGGCTGCCTCTTGGCATGCACCTGTGGTACCTGGTGGGGTTGGGTGGGGCCTCGTCTCACGGTCTGCCTCTCCTGCCCTCCCACTAGTGCCACCGCATCCACCGGTCGCTCGCCAGCCAGTTCAAGTACGCGCTGGTGTGGGTAAGTAGGCGAGAGGCGGGCTGGGGCTGTCCCCAACACCCTGCCCCTCTGTAGAGGGACCACGATGCCTGTGTGTCTGTCCCACTGCACACAGTGCTCATGCTGTCTCAGACTGGACACCGGCCTCTTGATCTTCAGGATCCAGAGATGATCTGACCACGGGGAGTCCTGCTGTCTGATGCCTCTGGTGTTTGCCAGTGCTGGGATCTCCCACCTTAGACTCTGGCATTCACCCCTCCCCACCTTCCTTCCGTGCTGACCAAGGCCATGTCTGATGGCCTTGGTCAGTACTGAAACTGAAAGCCCTTTTGCCCTGTTCCCCACCCAGGGCACCAGCACCAAGTACAGCCCGCAGCGGGTGGGCCTGACCCACACCATGGAGCATGAAGATGTCATCCAGATTGTCAAGAAGTAGTGGCCAGGGCCAGGCCACCAAGCCACCCACCCTGTCTCCCTGGGGAGTTGGGTCCAGTGTGACACACTGAAGCCCAACAGGAAGAATACAAATATGTGTATTCCAGGAAGGGGTCTCACAAGTCTCTGCTTTTTCCAGAAGTTTCTTCAGTAGGCAGATGATGAGTGTGTGGGACAGAGGGATGAGATTGGGGGCTCGGGTTGGGCAGAGGGCATTTCCTATGAGACTAGCCCCTGTGGTGGGGACTCAGCCCTGCTTGGGCACTGAGGGAGCAGGTTGCCTCTTACTTTCCAGCCTGGGCCTAATGCAGATGGCTTGCTCAGTGTAGGGCTGGGAGCTGGGCTTCACTGTAGGCTCACCTCAGCCTCTCCACCCCTGCAGCTTCTCCAGTTCTCCAGGAGGGGGCCTCCTGGGACAAAATCCCCCACCCCAGGGTGCCTGGGAATGGGGACTGGAGGTCAGTGGTTGTATAGGCCCAGCCCATGCCCTCCACAGCTTGTTGGGTCCTGAAGTACCCGCCTCCCAGGCAGCCCATGCCCAGCACAAAATCCCAGACACTGGGGCTGGGGACTGGAGTTTGGATTTTTTATTTTCTCTATGCCCTCTGATCTCAGCTCTTGCTGAAATAAAGGATGAGAACAATTTCTGTTCAGAGTGAGGTCCATTCTGTAGTTTTCTGAACTGCCAGCTTTGGTCAGTGGGCAGCAATGACATGTGACCAGAAAGTGGGTAGAGCCTGGGCTGTGGAGGACCTGGCTGAAGTGTGGGGTGCGAGGGGGAATGTGGGGACATCCAGGACAGCTAATGCCCTGGAGGGTTGGTGAGGGGCTGAAGGTCCCAGATGTGGTACTTTCTGAGACCAGGCCTGATGGCCAAGGTGGGCAGCATCCTCAGAAGGCCCTTGTCATTTGCACAGTGGCGGGGAGGTCCCCTGTGATTGCAAGGGAGCCAGTACATTTCTTGTTGCCTCAGAAGACGGGTGGGGGCGGGGCCTTGGCATGGGACTAAGGAGTGGCAGCTGGTGCACATGGAGCCCCCACTGAGTTCCTGGGGCTGTACAGCTCAGAAGTGCAGAGGTGGGGTTTGAACCACAGCCTGAGATGCCAGAGAGAAGGCTTCCTGGAGGAAGTGTGCCTTTTGGGGATGAATGGGGACAGGTTTTGGAGGCTGCCAGGCACTGGGCCTGCAGGAGTAGTGGAGAGCCCCCCTGGGGGTCTGTGGGCCAGGCAGGAGTGTGAAGTAGGCCTGATGCCCAGCTCTCCAGACTGTCCTTGGTTCCTCTGTCAGCTGCTCAGCCCCCTTTCCAGAGACAAAACAGGAATAATAGTGGTCATTAAATATACATGGGGGCCCCATGCGGTAGGCGCATTGAGCTGGGCTTCCTTTCCCCCTCCCCTACAACACAGCTGCCCCACGGGGCTGGCCATGCTTCTGGGGCCAGCCACAAGACCTGCATTAGGCGGGATGCAGGCAGGGAGCAGGCCACGGGACCCAGGTAAGGAAGCCCTGGTCCTGGACCCTTGGGGTCTGCCTCAACCCCACACCCCAAGTTTGCAGGTGGGAAGCGGGAAGGGGCCTGTGAGGTCCCTCTCTGGGCCCTGGTTTCTTCATCTGTAAAATGGGCACAACAACATCCATGTGGTCCCCCTCTTGGCATCACCAAGGCAGGTATGTGCTCAGGGGCTTAGCTCAGCTCCTCTCCCGGCTGCCCAAGGCCCAGGGGATGGTCACTGCTACTTCCTGCTGTACAGGTAGGGAAGGGCCCTAGGTTCACAAGGCATCCAGACCTGTCCTCAAGCTGGCTGACAGAGGGGAGGTGAGGACAGAGGACTGAGTGTCCTTGGGCAGTGCAAACTCTGAGTGACAATGTCAGAGGCTCCAGCCACTGGACCACTATATTTTTCACTGTGACTGGACTTGTTTCCTGGGCTTGGTCTGTGTTCACGCATAAGCGTTGCTGGCATCTCTGTCCAGTCCTTGGCCTTAGCTCTGGGTGGTTTGGTGATGCTGTTGCAGCCTGAGTGAGCACCAGAGGCATTGCATGCTGTGCTCACCCCAGCTGGCGTGAACTGGCAGCTCACTGTGCCTTTGCACCTGGGGTGGTGTTTTTAGGGCTGGAGAAGCCCCCTGACACCTCCCAAAGCTCCTTGTCCTGCCCCACAAGGGTGAACTCCAGGGGTTGGGCCCTGCCCCTGGCTTCCACCTTGCTCTCATCTCTTACCTCCCTGGACCTTCTGTGTAGGGGGCTCTAGCCAGGGCTACCTTCCTGTTCAGCTCTGCTGTCCTATGAAGGTCAACAGTGCCCCCACCCCACTCAGGCCTGTCCCTGGGCTGCATGACTGCACTCAGAGGGTGGCCCTCCTGCAGCTCTAGATTTGGGTGTACAGGAGCCCAGGGCATGAACAGCCATCCATCTGTCCCTGTGTTTATCTCCATGGCCCTTCCTCTCCAGCTTAGATTTCACGGGTCCTCATTTCAGAGAAATCCTCCTTGGGCAGGAAGCCCTCTCCTCCCCAGGAACCCCTCCATCCCACAGTGCTGCTGGGGGTGGGGGGACTCGCTCCCCTGGAATACCAGTTAAAACATTCATCTCCAAAAAGCCCAAGCTCCTCTGTACCCCTTTGTCCTTCACGATGGAGGCTCCTCCGCAGGGCCTCCTTGTCTCTGTGGGAGACAGGACAGTTCCACTCCTCTCCCGTGGGTCTGTCCCCCTGATTTGCCAACCATACCGGTGACCTTTGAACAACGCAGTTTTGAACTGCGCAGGTCCACTTCTACATGAATTTTTCCCAGTAAATACACTGGAAACATTTTTGAAAAAACTCATAGATGAACCCTATAATTTTCTTAGTAACATTTCCTTTCTTTGGCCTATTTCACTGTAAGAATACAGTACATAGCACATAACACAGAATATGCGTTAATTGATCATTATCAGTAAAGCTTCCAGTCAGTAGTAGGCTATTAGTGGTCAAGTTTGGGGGTCAAAATTTCTACATGGGTTTTCTTTTTTTTTTAATCATTGTTCAAGTACAGTTTTCTCCCTTTCACTCCCAATCCAGCCCACCCACCCAACCCTCCCCATTTCCCTCCCATTACCACCCTCCCCATAGTTTTTGTCCACATGTCCTTTAAATTTGTTTTGTACCCCGGTTGGTGTAGTTCATTGGATTGAGTGCGGGCTGCGAACCAAAGTGTTGCAGGTTCGATTCCCAGTCAGGGTACATGCCCGGGTTGCAGGCCATGACCCCCAGCAACCGCATGTTGTTGTTTCTCTTTCTCTCACTGTCTCCCTCCCTTCCCTCTCTAAAAGTAAATAAATAAATAAAATCTTAAAAGTAAATAAATAAATACATAAATACATGAAATTTGTTCTTGTAAACCTTTCCCATTCTCCCCTGAAATTCCCTCTTCTCTCCCCTCTGGTCACTGTCAGTCTGTCCTCTATTTCAGTGTCTTTGGTTATATTTTGCTTGTTTCTTTGTTTTGTTGTTTAGGTTCCTGTTAAAGGTGAGATCATATGGTATTTGTCTTTCACTGCCTGGCTTGTTTTGCTTAGCATGATGCTTTCCAGCTCCATCCAAGGTATTGCAAAGGGTAGGAGCTCCTTTCTTTCTGCTGCATAGAATTTCACTGTGTAAATGTACCATAGCTTTTTGATCCATTCATTTACTGATGCGCATCTAGGTTGCTTCCAGCAACTAGCTATTGTAAATTGTGCTGCTATGAACATTGGGGTGCATAGGTTCTTTTGGATTGCTGTTTCAGGGTTCTTAGATATAGTCCCAGCAGTGGAATTGCAGGGTCAAAAGGCAGATCCATTTTTAGTTTTCTGAGGAAGTTCCATACTGCTTTCCATAGTGGTTGTACCAGTCTGCAGTCCCACCAACAGTGCACTAGGGTCCGCTTTTCTCCACAACCTCTCTAACACTTGTTGTTTGTTGCTTTGTTTATGATGGCCATTCTGACTGGTGTGAAGTGGTATCTCATTGTGGTCTTAATTTGCATCTCTCTGATAGCTAGCGATATTGAACATCATTTCATGTGTCTTTGGATTTTCTGTATGTCCTCCTTGGAGAAGTGTCTGTTTAAGTCCTTTGCCCATTTTTTATCTACATGGGTTTTCTACTGCAGCAGGTGGTCTGCACCCCAACCTCCACTCTTGAAGGGTCATTTGTAATCTGCAATCATTCGCTCAGCTGCCAGGACAAAGGACCACCCAGTGTGTGGCTTAAACAACAGAAATTTACTTCCTCATAGTTCTGGAGGCTAGAAGTCCAAGATCAAGGTATAGACAGGGTTGTTTTCTTTGGAGTTCACTTTCTCACTGCATCCTCGTATGGCCTTGCTCAGTCCTCCTCTCCCATTGGAACGTGGACCCCGAACACGTCATTCCTAGGGCTGGCTCTTTCTCATGGTTTAGCTGCCCCAGCTTACCCCGCGTGATTGTTCTCACCTCAGCCCTCTCCAGGATGCCACCAAAACAGCTCCTGCCAAGGCCAGATGCCACATGTCACTACGGTGACCATTTCTAGCCCTGTTTCCTTGGGCAAGCCTGGTGCAGTTGGGGGCAGCCAGTGCAGCCCCCTTCCCTGGCAGCTCCTCGTTCCCACACAGCCTTCAGGACTGGCATCTGAGCCCCCTCTTCTCACTCTGCCCCTGTCCTAGGCAGCCTTGCCCCACCACCCCCCGCCTCCATCTCTCCCAGCCTGTGAGCCTGAACCGCCTCCTTGACTCTCTACCTGCAACGTCCACAGTAACCCCAGACCCTCCCTGGCCCACGGCACACCTGCCATGTTTCCACATCCCCACCTGGCCTCAGACATTGACTCCCCCATCCACTCAGCTGCACCAAGCCAGCCCCAGCAGTCTCCCAGGTTCCACCCTCTCCCAGCCCCTCTGCAGCCCTCACTTAGTGTACCCACCGCCCTGTGTGAAGCTGTCCCAAGCCAAACCTCTATCCTCTCTCCCTGCCTCCACAGTGCATCCCCTGCTCCACACAGTCTCTCAAGAGCTGGGAAAATGACATGTGAGCAAATTCACATTTGAGCTGTGTGGCCTCAGGCAACTTTCTACATCTCTCTGGGCCTGTTTCATCATCTGTTAAGTGGAAAAGACAGTCCCTACTTCCCGAGGTTGTGGTGGAGGTTGGATAAGTCGTGTGTGGCCTGGTAGTTCTCAGCACAGGCCCCACTGCTAACCCGCCGTGGGCTCTGGGCTGAGTGATCTGACCTCTTTGAGATGGAGTTCTTTGTCTATAAAGTGGGAATAGCAGTTCCCATTTACATATTGTGAGAATCTAGTGAGTTATAGGAAAGCATCCAGCACTGAGCCTGGCACATAGTAAGACTTGGCACTGTTGATTTAAAAAAATGAGGGGGGGAGGGAGAGAAAGAAGGGCTTTGGTTGCCTCCCATACCCCACCCCCAGGGATAGCACCTACAGCCTAGGCACGTGCCCAGACCCGGAATCAAACCCACAACATTTTGGTGCATGGGACGATGCTCCAACCAACTGAGCCACCTGGCCAGAGCAGTGTTAATTATTTTTATTATTTTCAAAATGTGAATCTTGCCTCGATGATCTTGGTACCGTTAAACCCTGCCATGGCTCCCCACTATTCGGGGATGGAGACCAGAGTTCTGCCCAGCC